CGTGAATTTACATTTCGAAAATTTCGAAAAATGCGAAATGAACCAATGAACTTATTTTAACCTAACGTACTGTACCACTTATAGCGTGCACTTGAGTGCTATTGAAGTCCTTCTACGACGCTGTGTTGGCACGTTATCTCTCGCTCCCTACATATCAGCGTGTATCGTTGATTCAATAAAGGGTTCGACATAACCTCGATATGAAAGTCTTCAAATCTGGCTTTATTCTAATCCGAGGCAATAATATATATCCGCCCCTACATAGAGTTCGTGTGCAAACACAGCGGCTGACTGACTTTCAGTTCTGTACGTCGATACTGTCAGAAAAAAAAAGAAAGAATTTCACTCTGTATGTTTTCTAAGTGATTGTCTCCATGCCTTCTGTATAACGGAAGGAATGTTTTAAAGTATTTCATGAATGTCCTCTTATTCCTCTAATGTCAGAGATTCACATAATAGAAAACAGACCATGATTACACAGGCCAACAGAAACCAATTCCTTATGCTCTTTGGATAGAGCCCTATGTATTATAGATTTTTTTTTTTTACTTTTTACGACCCCCTTCTCCCGAAGTTACATATCGTACGAGTTTTCTATAAACCAATGTTTTCTATAACCCAATGTATGTCATAAATGTCTGGTTGCGAATTACTTTTTTCAGTTGCAGGGAGGGATTGAAGAAACCGGCTAGACAGCATACGTTCACGATGAGGCCTAGCAGAAGCGTGGACTCCCTTTCAGGAGGCGGGGTGAGAGGGGGGGAGGCAAGGTTTGTCGCTGTGCCCCTCCTCCCTATTATGCCACTGTAATGGGCGCACTTTGCACCCCCCTTCATCCCTTCCATCTCTGGGGACTAACGTACCTGTAATTGCCACAGCCGAAAAAAAAAACTGCATGCGGCTATGTCTGAAACTGCACACCTGTTTTGTCATGTCGTGTGTTTTTTATTTGTTCCGTGAAAGCAATTGAGAAACATAAGTTGCCGTCTGCCAGCCGCCCGCTTAACCAACGAAAGTTTGTTTACGATACTTTTACGGTAGTTTGTGGCTTTGCGTCCGGTAATGCGGAAATTGAATCGTAAACGCTCCAATGCATCGTATAATTAATGCTAGCGTCGGTAATTCAGAACACTTTCGCGTCAGTTAGAAGCCATGGATGAATGGATAGATGTGGCTCTACCCTTTAGATCGGACGGCGGCTAGCGCCACCTAGCCGTAATACTTAGTGAACTAACCACTAGATTTATCTTTTTTTTTTCTTTAAATAGTGAGGCGCACTTTGCAATGAAGAGCTTAATTTTCACTCGTGCCTTGACTTTAGCCACCAATCAGATAACCTCCTTCTTGTTAATTCTACCCGCTTAAAGTCTATTTTGCCCTCCCTGTCCTTAAACCCCAGTGCTTTGAAAAACTCTGCACCATCATCCTGAACTATAGGGTGAAGGCCTTTACAGAACATTATCAAGTGTTCGGCAGTTTCTTCTCCCTCTCCACACGCACTGCATACTGTGTCTACCCCTTCGTATTTGGCCCGGCCGATATGTCTTGGTTCGCAATACTCCCGTCCTGGCCTCAAAGAGTAGGGAACTACCCCGAGTATTATCATAGATTCTTTCCTTGGCAATTTCTTGCTTAAAAGTTCGATATATCTCTTGTGCGGACTTCTTAATCATGCCAATTCTCCACACATCAGTCTCCGTTTCCTTCACTTTCTTTTTAACCGATAGGTCTTTTTGGTTTGGCCACCTGCTGTTTTCTAAGTATTTACCAGTCAATTTCCTGGTTCGCTTCCTCCATTTTGTATCGACATTCTTCATGAACAAGTAGCTGAAAACCTTCCTAGCCCAACGCTCCTCCCCCATTTCTCTCAATCGCTTCTCAAATTTTATCTTGCTGCTAGCTTCCCTGGCCTCAAATGATGTCCATCCCATATCACCTTGCACTCCCTGATTTGGTGTATTCCCGTGAGCTCCTAAAGCAAGCCTACCTATTCCACATTGTTTAATTTCTAATCTTGCTTGAACTTCTGATCTCATGCACAAGATTGCATTACCGAACGTACGGACTTCTTCCGTGGCCGAACGTCAGCCCAGGAACCCACCTCGAACTACCACTCTCTAGCAGTGCAACGCCTAAAACTATACGCGTTCAAGTATGGCCTCCAAGACAGCAAACGTGTAGCGTGTTTGCCATCTTGGAGGCCGTAACTCAGTGCGCTCTTTTTAAAAAATATATATATAGGCACGCCTGTGGGTGGCGAAGAATGAAACGATGTGGGGGTTTGAGCATGTCCCCCTCATAAACAAGAAAAGCATTCCTGGCGAGAGCAGCCAAATACGACCTTGAGAGCAACTAACAACAGAGCGAGAGAGGTGACGAACAATAGTGCCAGTCGGGGTACTGTGCGCGTCCTGAAAATGTCGACCTATGCGACGTCCCTAGGAGGCCCCTGTCTACGTCAAACTACGAAAAATGGCGACTGGAGCTTAATACTCGCATGAGCAAGCACCCTTACTTAAAAAAAGACAAATTAAAATATCATGTAGGCAACGCTCGTCTCTAATAATCTGTCAGAAGTGACCCAGCGTGCGGGACTCTCAAACAACACAAGCATCTCGAGCTTCCAAATTTCCCCGCCGCGGTGGTCTAGTGGCTAAGGTACTCGGCTGCTGACCCGCAGGTCGCGGGTTCGATTCCCGGCTGCGGCGACTGCATTTCCGATGGAGGCGGAAATGTTGTAGGCCCGTGTACTCAGATTCGGGTGCACGTTAAAGAACCCCAGGTGGTCAAAATTTCCGGAGCCCTCCACTACGGCGTCTCTCATAATCAAATGGTGGTTTTGGGACGTTAAACCCCACAAATCAATCAATCAATCAATCGAGCTTCCAAATTTGTTGTCAGCGGTCCTTTACCTTTCATTATTCCGGTACTTCGTCGACTCCCAGATGGAAGTTTCCCATTTCGACTGGATGTTTTTTTTTTTTTTTTTCAATTTCCTGCTAGAAATATTTACATTCCTGCAGCAGTATTAAGGGACAACAAATTTCTGCCAGCTAGGAATCTTGCCATTTCCAACAGAAAAAAACTCCAGCTCGGAAAATTTTTCGGTTCCACAATCCTGCTCGAATAGAAGTATTTCGATCTGAAATTTGAGGCTGTCCGAAAAGCAGTGCTCGCCATTTCTCGAAACAGCCCGGGTAGACTTGTTTTTCACACCCATCATTAGAAGATATAAAACAGAACAAAATACATTTCAGACGTTTTATTTTGTCACACTCACGACTTGCGTAGAAGCGCGTAGGACCGCACCACAACGAGCGTTTGAATATTTTCAATCATCTCTATACTTCCCAATCCCTAAAGGCGCTGATCTGCGCCCCCGCGAGGGGAAGCAGAAAATGGCGTCGTTTTTATTTCTTCCCCATTGATTACCCTATCTCTCTTTCTCTCTCTTTCCATGGTCACCATGCAAATTTGGTTTGCGAACGTAAAGTTGGAGGCAGGCGCCCCGCCTTCAACCCTAGTAACTAAGGAGGGGGGCATGCTAAGTGCCCCGTATACTGACTTTAATGAAGGGGGTGCTTAAAAGAACCCCCACTCCCCAGTGAAAGGGAACCTTGCACACGATTATGTCAGCATGAATTAAAAAAAAAAAACACCTCCTTACGTCCCACTTCTTTAAGTGCTTCGCCCTCATTGGCAACCAATCGACAATTACACAAGGAAGCAGAATGACTGTGGTACGATTTGAAAGAAACAAAACCCAAAAAGCGCTCACCATTCTTCCACCGGCCTCGGTCCAATGTTCGCACGATTAAACTGCTGCAAAACACTTCAGACAACTCGCCTAGCTCGAGAGTTGCATAACGGCGCACAGACGCACAAATTGCATGTACGAATGCGATATATTTAATTAACGTGCCTTCAATTAACGCGAGAGAGGAACTGCGTGTGTGTCTGAGACAACTGAGACTGCACACACGCCTTTTGCAATTTTCGTCTGGCCGACAATTTTTTTTTTGTCACAACATCTTTACTAAATTATTGTATCGAGTTACTGTGGTTTTTCATATGTCATTATACTAATCAATTTCGTACATTAATGAACTCTATTAAAGCGTGATTACAAAGGTGTCGTCTGCTAGTTTTTCATGTGTGTTTCAAACGAAAAACATTCGCACCCCCCCCCCCCCCTTTTTTTTTTCTTTCTGTGTGCGCGTGCACTTATATACTACAAAAGCTCCATGATTTAAGCTGTCACAAAACAGAAACAGTACAAGCATCGGGAGAAAGCGTGCTGGCTTTACCCGCGCATCTCCTTGCATCAGAGAAGGTGTCCCTATCACGTACGTTCGATTCGCCTGCACCACGTGAACCAGTTCACAAGGTGCTGCACCTTACCATTCGTTACAGCGGTGCAGCATTGACAACCGGTGAACCCTGCCATTCGTTCAGAAAGGTGCAGAAGAGGTGCAGCACCGGTTCACAATTTTCCTGCACCTCTTTCGCTGACGGCGCCGGCTTGGTGCAGGCGCGCGTGCAGCTAAGCAGACGACGCAGCACTTTAGACGTAGGTGGCTGAGGCGCCGTACCCGCCTCTACAAATGCGGTGTGTTTTGCCAAGGTGTTTGCGCCTCATAAACTGTCCGCATGTGCGTTTCGCCATAGGTCGGTGCTTGCTGAATGGTGTAAATTAACCGAAAAGAATTAAGGCCAACGCCTTGTCGGCACATCGTCATTTGTTTCGGGTGTCGTGCTGTGCCTGCACCGCTGAACTCACGCTGCACAATTTCTGAACTTCGCGTCGCGTGCACAGCCGTGAACCGGTTCTGACCGGTGCAGTTGAATCGAACGAACTTCGCGTGCACATGAACCGGTTCCGACCGGTGCAGTTGAATCGAACGGACCTATCATTTTACTCCATCCATGTGGTCCTCGCTCGCATTAATCGTACGCACTGTCATCGTTGTCACGAGCGTAAACATTTGCACTGCATTTGCACGACTGTTTGGGATTTGAAAATCTCGACTCGTGCCGCTCGTGCGTGAGTTCTCTGTTCTCTAGTGAATCGCCCGTGCAGCGCCGTGGGTCTGTAAACCCAACGACTGGTGACACGAAAAGCGGCGACTTCGGGTGCCTCCGCGAAACAGAGCAGCCGGCGAACGGAGTGGCTGTGACGTGTGGGACTCCCCGAGTCCGATTCGCGCCAAAAATCAGTGCGTTTGCGGTCGCCTCTTCACGCCGGATGATTACAACCACGATTCCGGATTGACGCAGCGACCATCGGCGCCCCCACGATTACAACTTTCCCAAATCTTGAGGCACTGCCGTTTCTGTTCCGTCCCGACCCCAAGGTGGGTTCACTGAATAGATTGTAATTGGGTAGGCAAAGCTTCGTTTTACGTTAGTAAGACACCCCCAAAAAGACAGAATATGATGAAAAATTCGCGAACGCGTGGTGTCGCTGGAGGAGGCGTTTTGACAAGCGGACTTGCCTCCCTCAAGGCGGCGTTGTATTCGTGTTCGCGATTTTGTTTTTAATCTCTTAGTGACACACGTGTTTGAGCGAGTTAGCGACCCCGTTTCTTTAGCGCTCCTTTTATCTGCATCAATTTTACGTTAGTGTTTGGTGCCACCGCGCATGCGTCGCAAGCTAACACCTTGGCTGCCGACGTTAAGTTACCAAACTAGCGTATCGTACCCAAGCAACTAATCTTGTGCTATGCCGAGCTGCGCTGCTTGAACATAACATAGATGTTTTGCGTGCGCTGCGTACACTGTTCTGAAACTCTCTATTGCCATGCCCATGGATGGGAGGAGGGGGATATGGGGGACACCGGAAACTTTCAATTTTTTATATGCCTGCACACACACGCACATTTAAGACATGCACGAACATATATAAACGGGGCTTGAACCCCCCCCCCCCCTTTTCCTGAACAAACATCTATCCACACCCCTGGTGGACATGTGCTGAAGTTATTTTTAGTTGCACCTAGTATGAGCAACGTAAGGCATCCTTTCTTTTTCTTTGCAACGTGGTCAAGTTTGTTATAGCTGTGCAGTGTCATGGGCAGGGCTGACTCGTTCATTTACGACTTGCACTTTTCGTCATGAAATCGCAAGTCGCAGGCATGTCAGTTCTTACATCATGCTCTTGACAAATAGACCAACTGTATGTCACCTGAGGACGTGCACCACCTTCACCTTCCCCCTCCACTTGATGCAGGAGTTGGAACTTGTAATTAACAGGTTGAATTATTATTTCTCATGCTGTCATACAGGGTAATTGTAAGCATTGGTGCTAACAATTGCTCACTGTGATCCTACTCTTTCCTTCCGTATGACAGCTCTCACGAGGACTTTTCGTCACTTCGTTTCATCAATTACCTTTAATTTTCTAAGCAGTTGTAGCTGTTACAAGGGAAATTACCGACCTCTCACTTGTGGTATTAAGCCGCCAGAAAATCCATGTGAATATTCCAAAAAGAAAGCTTGTTTGTCAAAGAATTAATCCTGCTCTGGGGATTGAACCCGGGATCAACACCTTTCCAGCATGGTCGCTGCATTATTAAGGTCATTAAGGTAACTAGAGGGGGACCAGGACTAAAAATTTGCCCGAATCCGAGCTCGATCCCCGGACAAGGTTGGATTTTTGTAGAATTAAAGACCTTCTTTCTGAGAAATTCTTAAGGGTTGCCTTACGGCTTTGTGCTGCAAATTGGGGGTCGACAATGTCTGTCATACATAACCAATGTGCCGCCTTGCGAGATTCTGCAGGACCGATTTGCTATAAATGTGACAGCTGCTAATCCTTTGTCTTGGATACATTTCTATTTCTACTATTCGACACGACAGACAACTTACTTTTGGATAGTGCTTTTCGCTCACGGTGGAGCTTCTAAAGAAGAACAAGAAGTGCTTTAATAGAGGATAAGGGCTTGTAGAGAAAGGAAGAGAACGATGAGGTTCGTATGGGCCTTCTTTGTCCGCTTCAGTTTTCCACATTTCTAATAGGTCCCAAACCACCTCAATATCAAAGATGAGGGAGTGGTTTCCTCCTCACCTTCACTTCAACCTTCTGAATCAGTGAGATCGTTGGTCGAGGATCGTCAGATGGCCGCGCCAGAAAAGATGGTGGATTCGCTGCCTCGGTTGGGCGACGCACGATGTGGATGACACTCTCGGTGGTGGGCAGTGGAGTGCATGTCGGCTGAAGGTCCTCACAGGTTGACGTAGCTGCAGTATTGAGAAGCCACATGAAATGCTGGGTTATGCGGCGTCTCTTCAGTTCTTCAAAGTGCCGACACTCTTTGATGATGTTGTCCACGGTCGAACACTCTTTGGACACCAGCAGATTGAAAGCATCATCTGCAATGCCCTTAAGAACATGGCTGACTTTGTCCTCTTAGGCCATGCTGGGGTTGACACAATGGCAAAGTGTGAGAACATCAAGTATGCACGAACCACAGGATATGAAGTTTGAGCTTGACTGGACAGATCTTTCAAAGTGACTGTCGCCCGGCTACACAACGAAAGAGGTCACGGAGCTTTTACTTACACATTTGTCTCACGAGCGTAAAACCACACGCCTGCCGTTCCACAAAAATAAAAGCCTACATTGGCAAGGATCATTGTTGGGTCCCACCGACAAACAGCTGCAAAACGCTCATATTTTCGCAATCCAGTGTATAGATGCTCAAAGTGTCCGCAGTACGCAAAGATATGCTTCACATTTTAAACAAAGTCAAAGTTAGAAGAAAAAAGAATGAGCCCTTTTACCTGTAGGCTACTACTCTTGGTGGGTGCGTTACTGTTGCTGTTGCCTGCAGAAACTGAAGTGTTGATCTGCTACGCATATGGACGGTCCAATTCTCAGCACAGGGGGTAGGCAACAGTTAGCAGAGAGCTATGCGCAATGCAATAGAAAAGAAAGAAAGAAATGTAGTACGTCGGGCAAGAGCACACGAAGCTTCATCTGCCTCCTGTTCCCCCTACAACACAAGGGCTGCGGAACTTTCTTGTGCGCTTTCACTAATTTTCCTTTCATCTCATGAGTAGTAAGCATTAGTTTAAAATTACAAATAACATGCAGCTATGCTTACTTTGGCTTTGTTATCTCTTGGATTCACACTTTTCTGTCTAACAAAAAACGGGCCGTTCGATGCACTGCCCTTTTTTGTTCAAACACATCACTATATGTGAATGTGAGCAATTCAGTAGATTCCGAGCTGGCATACGTATATACACTGAAACCTCGATATAACGAAATATCGGTTATAACGAAGTAAATAAAGAATAGTCTTGTAATAGATAAAGTGTTAAGAATATACATCTATAACGAATGTTTGGATTCAACAAACTTATTTACGTGCAAGATGCAACTTTACTATAATGACGTCTGAGTGTATCTTCATTCCCATCTCCCATGTATCCAGGAATCTGTGAAGACACTCATGAATAAACGTGCCTTCTTGGCTACGGGAAAAAGGACAGCTGCCCAGGCAGCGCCGCGGCCCAATTCTGTTGGTAAGTCAGCTATTCTGTTTGCAAAATGGTTCACTTTGTCAACACAGCTGTAAGAAGGTCATTACTATGAAGCTTCATTATAGCAAACTGGCCTTCAGACCATAACTTTGTTCATTATATACTCATGAATTAACGTTTCTTCATAGCTCCACGGAAAAGAACAGCCGCCCAGGCAGCACCACGGCCCAATTCTGTTGGTAAGTCGGCTACTCTGTTTGAAAATGGCTCACTTTGGCAACACAGATGCAAGGAGGTCGTTACAATGAAACTTAGTTATAGCAAACTGGCGTTCAGGCCATAACTTTGTTCATTATATCCAATATTCGTTGTAACTGTAAAGACCAAAATCGGTTATAACAAATTGGCAACCTTGTTTGTGAACAATCCTTAACCAAAAGAGTGCATTATTATAAGCTTCAAACCAAATATAGAGTAGTTCACACCTTTCTCCTTGTCCCATTTCAAACTAAATGGGCTTGAACGTGGGAAGGTGTAAGCACGTGAAAACGAAGCTCGCTTTTGCAGAAACCTTTAAGTGTGTGGTGAATCACAGCCATTTTAAAGGTGTGGTTACGAGTTGTCTTTCAATCTTACTCATGTTCAACAATGGACGTGTCAACGAGGCATATCTGTTGATTGTATAGTGCAACTGATTAACGGGACACTAAAAGGGTACACGTACAACAGAGCACTCTCTTTCAGTAATTCCGTTGAAAGTTCGCTCTTTGTTTTGTGTGTACCTCTATTGGGTCCCATCGATCAGTTGCGCTATACACTCTGCTGTCTTTCAAAGTTTATTTTGCTTTTTATGTCATCGTTCGAGTGTTGAGTGTCGCAGAAAGCAAATCTTTATTGGTTACACCTGATATTGCAGTGGCTCTGGTGTTGTTTATTTCGTTTTAAAGAGAGTAATTGTCACTGATATTTCTGGCCTTCACCACATCACATTTTCTGATGAAGTTTATGCTCGCAGTTCCCATGCTTTGAACCAGCGACTTTCTTTGCGCGTACCAGTGCTTTTAAATAGTTTTTTTTTTTTTTCATGTGAGATAGCGCTTTGAAATTCTCTGCCTGGTAGCATTGGCGACTTGCCACTAAAAGACTTTATTGTTGCAATAGATGAATATAATTTTAATGTATACTTAACCTCCTCTTCAATATTGACTTCGTATGAGTGTTCTTGCTTTGCCATTAGTGTTTTTTTTTTTAAATTTTTTTTCTGCTTCTGGTATTGTATAATATCCCATTCCTGCTATAGCCCTGTATAGGACTGCAGTATTTTAAATAAATAAACAAACAAATAAAGATGTACTGACTCAAGAAAATGCTGCTTGCAACACGGAGATGCAATGCACTGTTACAGTAGCCCCCCTCATTATTTATTTATTTATTTTAAAATAAGCTTCACTGCATTGCATTCTGGTATTGCGGCAAAGACGCCTTTAGGGTTCCTCTAAGGCCTTAAAAGGATCGATCATCGCAAGCTCTGGTTCGAACCCATGCATTGTAAATGGAGGCATTTATTAAATGCTGTTTCAGACTGAAACAGCATTTATTAAATGCTGTTTCAGACTGAAAAGACAAAAAATACTGGACGAAAATTTGCGACATTCGAAGTTTCAGGTGTTTTTATACCCTGATGTCTGCGAGGTGGATTGGCAACTTCGAATTCGAAGGGAGCACGTCTTTGTCGGCCAAATCAGTTGGGCCATTATAGATGTTGAAGAGGAGGTGGAGGAAAATCTTTTCCTTTCATGTGTAAAGTGTTGTCAACACCACATTAGTTGCACCAAATCAAACAAATACTATTTGGTCACTGCATCATCTCATCCTTGAAAAACAACTAGGGAACACCGTTCCTCTAGCGCTTCACCAACCTAACCAAAAAACTCTTCCATGTTCCTATTTCATAAAAATGGGCTGAAAAATCCTCTGCAACCTCTATTCTGTAGGTATCACTTTGAAGTATTCGAAAAACAATAAACAAATGTTTAAGTGCTGTTCGAAAAATATTCAGTTCGATTCACACTCGGACTTTAATATCAGAATTGACCATTTGCGGGAAAACTATTGCACATGAGCAGTAAAAGCATAGGTAACGCCCTCTGCAGGCATTTGGTTTTGGTTGGAAAACATTGCCCGGCCCTCCGCCGGTCATACATTGTGTGCTGTGGTTGAGCGGCCTTGCTTTCGTAGTTGGGGCAAATATGCCAGAACCCTGCGCGAATTATTTTACCGAGATAGAAGTGTGAAAAGCTGGGCTTTATAGTTCATGTTTAGGTGCGAGAAAAACCTACGAAAACTACCCGTGACTGTGTGTGATTGGTTTTGCCTTCATCGTCATTACCTTGAGCTTTTGCTGTTTTTTTTTTTTTTTCGCAGCTAAACCGAGAAATGAGCGCTAACTTTGACAGGCTCTCGTTCGCGAGGCTACGTGCTGAAAAGAGAGATGCTCAGATAACGCCATGCCAAATGTTGCCGGAGGACAAGCCTTTATTAAAACAGTGGTGTGTGGCGCATGCCGCTCGCCGTGGTTGTCGGACCAGCACTGGCTGAACTAACATTCCTGGATTTCTTTAGTGTATCATGGCAGCACACGAGTCTAGTGTATATCAAAACTCCTAATAGACCGCACTATACTTCCGTTAACACGCGATAATGCGCTCTCGCGTATCTGCGCGAACGATAATTGACAAAAGCACGGGTAATTTAATATTCATGACTGCGGCAGCTGCATCTGTATCTCCTTTATGTATAGTAAGAGAAACTCGTGTTATGAATGCAGAGTATTAGCAAAGTGCATATTCACTTACAGCGTCAATATACACTTTGGTGAATTTAACTAGAGGCACTTGTATTAGTGCACTAGAAACGCCTATAGTACGCTCTACCCATATATCAAAAATATTTCTCCAGGTAACACAGTTGCAGCTCGCTCCAACCGTGTGACTTGTGGTAACGGCGAACACTACCGTTTTCACGCAAATACCGCACCTCACAGACGGTGCGCAAGCTGTCCTCAACGAACCTAGTTCATCATCAGACGTTTCAAGGGTCAACTTCAAGTGTATAACAAAATGTTTTTACTTGAAGGAGCAGGTGCGATGAGCTTGGCGAACAGTCGAGGTAACGAAGTGCAGCTATCACCTCGCTTGGTTGTTGCTCAGGCTGAAACGCGAAAAATCCTTGTTTTACACTGTTTATACAAATGTGAATGGAATGTTTTCCTTCTTTACCATGTTCTTTCAATAATGGGCTTGCATATTTGGCCCTAAAGCAACAAAACAGGTGCACCTGAACCGCTAAACACTGTCTTCAGCATGTTAGTTGGCAAAGCTTTCTTGTTTACACGAGAGGGGTCGCTCACTTTCCTGCAAATGGTCAATTGGCCTCGCACCCAAACTTTTGTGATTCGCACAGCTCTGTAAATTATCCAATGAAGGGCTTGATGGCTCTACCAGTCTCCTTTTGTTCAAAAGACGTGCTTCTACATGGATAGCATAGGCACATGATCCCGTCAGGCTTTGCCACTGCCGTAATCCCTGCAGTGCCTCCATGAACATAGACTAAATCAGTGGTGTGCCTTCACATACGTGGAATTTCGAATAAGTAGCATGTTTCTTATGTTCTCCTCAAGCAACTCACCTTGGCACATTTAGATGACCGATACAGCGACTCTGTGCACATTTACACCGATGGATCCGTAACTTCATCCGCCTCAGCTGCAGCCTTCGTGATCCCTCAACTCAATATTTCCCGACAGTAAAAATTAGATCATAGGTCATCTTCGACAGCTGCAGAACTTGTTGCTATACAAGAAGCCATAAAATTTGTGAACGACCAAGCACCGCGTAAATGGACGATTCTGTCTGATTCAAATCAGCGCTTCAAGCTATCCATTCTTACTCAAGAAGAGCCAATTTTACGAGTTAACGTTAGGAATCTCCAAGCATTTGACCTAACACACAGGAGTGGTCACTTGATTACACTCCAATGGATTCCTGGACACTGCGGCCTGGTTGGCAACGAAACAGCCGATAGCGAAGCAAGAGCGGCAATATACAACGCTCCTATGTACGTCAAAGTACCCTACTCGCGAGGTGACGTCAACACATTGTTGAGATCACTCATGCGCGAATGCGCTGCCACTTACTGGTCGCTACCAGATCACCGGAACAAGCGCCTGCGGGAAACAGACCCCGGTATGACTTTTCGTCTTCCAGATAAAATCAGCCGAAGACATGCTAATATACTGCACCGAATTCGCCTGGGCGTCGCCTTCACTCGCCACTACACCCACCTAATCGGCCGTGCGGACAGCCCAAATTGTGAACGCTGCCAAGTGCGCGAAACGATAGCTCATTTATTTTGTGACTGTGCATTATACGTGGCGCAAAGAAAAATGCTAACTGCAACGTTGGCAAGCATTGGACGAACACCATTAAGTGAAAGCCACATATTGTCAGCAATGAACGACCAAACAGTGTCAAAAACTGCTACAAAGGCTGTTCTAGACTTTATAAAAACCACTGGACTAGAAACTAGACTGTAGGATACTACGGTAAGTGGCTACTGTACATACGCACCACCTCTTCTTGTCCCCATCATCACCCTTCATCCCTCTTTCCTTCCCCTTTCCCTTATCCCCTGTGTAGAGTAGCAGGCTAGAGCGAACTAGCTGAGGCCGACCTCTCTGCCTTCTAATAAATTCTCACTCACTCTCTCTTCTCGCAGCTCAACCACGAAATGAGCGCTAACTTTGACAGGCTCTCATCCGCGAGGCTACGTGCTGAAAAGAGACATGCTCAGATAACGCCATGCCAAATGTGGCCGGAGGACAAGCCTTTATTGAAACAGTGGTGTGTGGCGCATCCCGCTCGCCGTGGTTGTCGAACCAGCACTGGCTGAACTAACATTCCTGGACCTTTTAGTGTATCATGGCAGCACACGAGTCTAGTGTATATCAAAACTCCTAATAGACCGCACTATACTTCCGTTAACACGCGACAATGCGCTCTCGCGTATCTGCGCGAACGATAATTGATAGAAGCACGGGTAATTTAATATTCACGACTGCGGCAGCTGCATCTGTATCTCCTTTATGTATAGTAGGAGAAACTCGTGTTACGAATGCAGAGTATTAGCAAAGTGCATATTCACTTACAGCGTCAATATACACTTTGGTGAATTTAACTAGAGGCACTTGTATTAGTGCACTAGAAACGCCTATAGTACGCTCTACCTATATATCAAAAAATATTTCTCCAGGTAACACAATTTCAGCGCGCTCCAACCGTGTGACCCGTGGTAACGGCGAACACTGCCGTTTTCACGCAAATACCGCACCTCACAGACGGTGCGCAAGCTGTTCTCAACGAACCTAGTTCATCATCAGACGTTTCAAGGGTCAACTTCAAGTGTATAACAAAATGTTCTTCCTTGAAAGAGCAGGTGCGATGAGCTTGGCGAACAGTCGAGGTAACGAAGTGCAGCTATCACCTCGCTTGGTTGTTGCTCAGGCTGAAACGCGAAAAATCTTTGTTTTACACTGTTTATACAAACGTGAATGGAATGTTTTCCTTCTTTGCCATGTTCTTTCAATATTGGGCTTGCATATTTGGCCCTAAAGCAACAAAACAGTGCACCTGAACCGCTAAACACTGTCTTCAGCATGTTAGTTGGCAAAGCTTTCTTGTTTACACGAGAGGGGTCGCTCACTTTCCTGCAAATGGTCAATTGGCCTCGCACCCAAACTTTTGTGATTCGCACAGCTCTGTAAATTATCCAATGAAGGGCTTGATGGCTCTACCAGTCTCCTTTTGTTCAAAAGACGTGCTTCTACCATCTATTCACGTGGTTCTGTGCATCGTCACGAGTGTAAATATTTGCACAACTGTTAACATTTCCCCTGTTTACATGAACTTTTCTGTCGAACCTCAAAGTTTGTGTTCTTTAGGTGTCAAGAAACGCGCCTGCGCCGTCGTTGGCTGCGAGCCCAGCTGTTGGCGACAAGATAAGCGGCACCATAAAGTGCCTGTACAACAGGGCAGCAGGCGGACGGAGTGGCTGCGCCGCATCGGACTCTCAGTGTTCGAGCCGCGCCTGAATTTGCGGGTTTGCGGCCGTCACTTCAAGCTGGAAGATTACAGCCATAATTTTGAGTTGATGGAGCGATTGGGCACCGCCACGATTAAACCTACTCTTAATCCTGGGGCACTGCCGTGTCGGTTCCTGCCTGACCCTCAGGTGGGTTCACTGATTTGTTCACTTAGTAAACACCCAAAAAAAGACTGGAGTTCAGGGGAAGATAAAGCTTAAAATTACGAAAAAGTCAGGAATGCGGGTTGACGCTGGAGGCCACATTTCAACAGGCGGACTTGTGGTCGTCAAAATTGCACTTGAATTCGTGTTCAAGAATTTTTCATCTCTTGTAGGACATGTGTTTGGGCAAGTTTGCGTCTCCGTTTCTTTAGCGCTCCTTCGTTCTGCATCGGTCTTGTGATAGCGTTTGTCGCCATTGCGCATGCATCACAAGCTGACCCTTTGGCTTAAGTTACAAAGCACCCAAACAACTAGTCTTATAGAAGGTTGCGCTGTGCTGGTTGAACGTAGATGCCATTGCGCATGCATCACAAGCTGACCCCTTGGCTCAAGCTACAAAGCACCCAAACAACTAGTCTTATAGTAGGTTGCGCTGTTCTGGTTGAACGTAGATGTTGTTGACGTGGCATCTGGTTTTTTTCCCTTTTTTCGTATCGTGGTTGAGTTTGCGATAGTTGTTCTCATCACGCTAAACCTTTTGTTCTCATCACGCTAAAACTATGCTCATCATAAAATCACAGGGTGCAAGCACGTCAGTCTGCACCCCAATGCTATTCACAAACAGACCAACTGCATGTAATCTGAGGATGTGAGCCACCTTCATCTTCACCCTCCATTTGATGCACAACAATTGTGGCTTGTAATTATTTACCTGGCGGGACTAATTAGTTTTTACGTCTGCATACAGGGTGGCCATTGTGGGGTCTCGTAATGCGAGCGGCTGCTCTTGGAACACACGGACACAATAGATGCGGTCGAACCATACTAAAACATCACATACATTTATTCAATTACATTTGCATTGAGGATATCATCAGCCAAATGAAATACATCACTACTGATCAACACTCTAAATACAGCCTTATAAAATATTCCAGTGCACTTAATCAACTCAAGAACAAACACAAGATAACGCGAAGGGGTCGTCGCCGATGTTCGGCTCACTGCTAGGGGCCCACAAGAGACGGCATACGCCGCATCCCGCGGGAACCCATCAGGAGACGACCGTCCTCGTCAGCCGCCACATGTCATAGAGACTCGCCAGTGTTCTCTGTGTCGCCACCTAGCCTTGCCGCCAGGCGTCACTGCTGGCGCTGCCGCGCTAACCCATAAATGATGATACAAACGTGAATGGAATGTTTTCCTTCTTTGCCATGTTCTTTCATATTGGGCTTGCATATTTGGCCTAAAGCAACAAAACAGTGCACCTGAACCGCTAACACTGTCTTCAGCATGTTAGTTGGCAAGCTTTCCTGTTACACGAGAGGGGGGCGCTCACTTTTCTGCACATGGTCAATTGGCCTCGCACCCAAACTTTGTGATTCGCACAGCTCTGTAAAATATCCAATGAAAGCTTGATGGCTCTACAGTCTCCTTTTGTTCAAAAGACGTGCTTCTACCATCTATTCACGTGGTTCTGTGCAGCGTCATGTGTGTAAATATTTGCACAACTGTTAACATTTCCCCTGTTTACATGAACTTTCTGTCGCACCTCAAAGTTTGTGTTCTTTAGGTGTCAAGAAACGCGCCTGCGCCGTCATTGGCTGCGAAGCCCAGCTGGTTGGCGACAAGAAAAGCGGCACCATAAAGTGCCTGTACAACAGGGCAGCAGGCGAACGGAGTGGCTGCGCCGCATCGGACTCTCAGTGTCCGAGCCGCGCCTGGATTTGCGGGTTTGCGGCCGCCACTTCAAGCCGGAAGATTACAGCCATAATTCTGAGTTGATGGAGCGATTGGGCACCGCCACGATTAAACCTACCCTCAATCCTGGGGCACTGCCGTGTCGGTTCCTGCCTGACCCTCAGGTGGGTTCACTGATTTGTTCGCTTAGTAAACGCCCAAAAAATACGGGAGTTCAGGGGAAGATAAAGCTTAAAATTACGAAAAATTCATGAATGCGGGTTGACGCTGGAGGCCACATTTCAACAGGCGGACTTGTGGTCGTCAAGGTTGCACTTGAATTGGTGTTCAAGAGTTTTTCATCTGTTGTAGGACATGTGTTTGGGCAAGTTTGCATCTCCGTTTCTTTAGCGCTCCTTCGCTCTGCATCGGTCTTGTGATAGCGTTTGTCGCCATTGTGCATGCATCACAAGCTAACACCCCTTGGCTTAAGTTACAAAGCACCCAAACAACTAGTCTTATAGTAGGTTGCGCTGTGCTGGTTGAATGTAGATGCCATTGCGCATGCATCACAAGCTAACCCCTTGGCTCAAGTTACAAAGCATGCAAACAACTAGTCTTATAGTAGGTTGCGCTGTGCTGGTTAAACGTAGATGTTGTTGACGTGGCATCTGTTTTTTTTTCCCTTTTTCGTATCGTGGTTGAGCTTGCGATAGTTGTGTAGGGTAGCAAGTAAGGGAAGAAAAGCAGAGCAGTGGCACTACTAGGGATGACGGACAACCGACATCAGGATAGCGATTTCTGCTCACGAAGCTTTTAAAAGAGAACAAGAAGGGGTTTAATGCAAGTTGGGCGCTTGTAGAAAAAGGAAGACGACGATGAGGTTCGTCTGGGTTCTGTTTGACTGCTTCAGTTTTTCACTTTTTTAATAGGTCCCGAACCACCTCGAGATAAAGGACGAAGCAGTGGTTTCCTCCTCAACTTCACTACTCTACCTTCAGGTGAGATCTCCTCCTTGCCTCTTATTTCTTAAGTTTACTTATTGGCGACACACTGTTATCGCTGCTTGCACAGTCTCGCAAACACGCATAATGAAGTGAAGTCGGTTGATCGCGCACGATGGCCAGGCGAGCTAAGGCAGAACGGGGGGGAGGGGGGCTACTGCGTGGCTAGACAGTGCAGGAGACAATTCACATCCGATATTTCGCGTACTACAGACCAATCGAGAGTTTGTACACTAATAGACGTCACGGGAATCGCTGTTCATGCATTGCATGATAAGGTGTGCCATCAAAGCGAGAGACACCAGGAGAGAATGACACGCTCTTATCTTGTATTTTCAGAGGGTGTCAAGTCAAGGAGAGATAGAGAGCTAAAGCTACTGAAAATGTCATTTTAAAATTTTTATGGCACTGATATTCCAGCATTACTGACAAGCGCTTCCACAAAGTGACGAGTTTTTACGCGCAGTATGAAGTGCTTGTGAAATGGCTCCAAACGTGCCTGATCCCTTGGCTGCACAGCGGCAACTCGACCTTTAAATGGCATTTTCTCCTAACACTATCTTTCGTCAGAAAAAGAACATTTTTCTCTATAACAGCTGAAGCTATCGAATTCAAACTTTTGTGCCTTTTTTCTTACTACCATGCGGCCTTTCTGAAGCAAAAGAGTGTTGGTGCCACCAAAATTGTTTCTATCCCCCCCCATTAGTGCTTTAGGGTTGTAATTAACTGCTTTTTTTTACATAATGGTGTGCTCGGTCAGGGAAATGTAACAGAGTAGTGGCAGTACCTTGGGGTCCTTATGCTTGCTTAGTTCATACTAATATCTCTTGTATGCATTTGGACTGTATTGTTTGTGAATGAGTGTTGTTACAAAGACTATAAACAAGGGCTGTATAAATAGAATAATGTTTAAATGCCTTTCTTGTGCAGCTTCACGTAGCACAACCAGGTGGCTCAGCAGGTGAGAGCCCGGCTGCCACGGCTGTCACCGCAAATGTGAGAATTCGCTTTGGGCTATTCAAAGCATCATTCGGGGGTGGCCAAGTTAACAAACTGCGACCGTTTCTGTGAAGGCCGAGAAGCTTTTCGACATCCATACACTGAATGGCTCTAATTGAAACAAACTTAAAGTTAGAAGGAGAAAGAATGGGTGCCTTTTCCTGTGGGCTTCGTTTTTTTGTGTTAGTCTTGAAGGGACCAACAACTGGCCAGAAAGTGTGATTGGATGCTGTAGTAGAAATGAAACGACCGCGAAATATCGTCACAGATTTCAACATTCTTTTCGCATTGCGAGTAGGATTTAAATTTTTAAATCGTACTTAAAATTAACAAAAACCGTCATGTTGTGCAGCCTGCGGAAGAGTATTGAAGCTGGATTATGAAACCTGGAGTCGATCACTTTGCTGTTCGCGTAGCGTGATGCTGTCATGCACTCCAGTCCTCAAAATTGAAGTTTTGTATATTATTACCCAGTGTTACAAGCTGCCACTCTAGCGTCGCCAGCGCGAAGTCGGCGACGGGAATGACAGCAGGTTGGTTCGTTCCGTACGCAAGCAGAGACAGTGAAGAGATCAGAGACGTGGGAAAACAAAACAACTTTACTCTAGTGATATTGCAGCACACGGGATCTAATACAACAATTCTATACAACTAACAAAATACATCAACACTTGATACAACTAAAGAAATATATAACAGAAACAATAAATCAGCTTACGCGAGAGAACTATTACAAACTACACAAACTAACAACAATACAACTACGGAGGAGAAAGTTCGAAGATATAAACAGGTGAAGGCATACGTGTGATGACCGGCAGCGTTGTGTCCCCGACGATCGGATGCGAGAAGTCGAGGAGAGTCCTGGCACGACTGCGATGTCGGCGGTGTTGCAACGCTGGTGGCTCCGGGAGGCTAGTGCTTGCAGGTGACTTCGAGCAGGTTGAGCTAACTCGAAGCGAAGTCCCGATGTCTACGTTGCAGACGTTAATATCGCGTCACAACTAGACGAACGGCTAAGTTTAGGTGGCCAGCCGATACAGAGCCGCACTAAAAACTTCTAGAAGAGATGCTTGTTGATCTGTTTCTACACCATCTTGGTCAGCGACTAGTCTGCCTAGCAGGGCAAAATCCTGCGCTTAAATCCCCCTCGTGTCTCCTCGCTCTCTTCCTTGGGGACAAGAGACCTCTACCTGGGTCCAATCATGCGCATTTAATTGAGGGGAAACTCCGCCCCAAAAATATTTTGACCCCACCCCTTTTTAATAGGGAGAGGGCCCGCAACTAGCGAGAGTGACAACCTGTCGGGTTGTTGTCATACGGCTTGGCCACCAGAGCGTTTCCCACGCTTTTCTCCGTGGGAACGGTGAACCACTTAGCTCTCAGCCGGGCGTCTTGTAGTCTAATCCTTGTACGGGGTATACCGCGGCCTTTTACGACCTTGCAGACGTCGCCACGGTTACAAAAGGATTAACTGTCGGCGGCGACGTTCTAAGGAGAGCACCCTCATTTTGCACTTATCGGTTCCCTTTCATGTGCCGCCGTTTCTCACGGTCAGTCGGGGAGTATGGCGCCCGTTAATTGCCGTGACGCGGTGTCGCCGAAAATAGCCGTCCGTGACACCCAGCCTTGCTTAATTCTGTGCTGTTTATGACGTTAAAGGAGTAGCACGGCAAAAAGCGGCGTCGCCGTCACAGCCTCCAATGGACTAAACGGAGCCGTAGGGCATGCGCGCGGAGTGCACGCACGTGCAGTAAACCACCATGCTCAAATGCAAAGCGGCCGCACGCTCACCGTTTGCAGCACGCGAGTGTACGACTCCATGTTCGCTGCAGATAGAAAAACTTTAGTTGCTAATGTTTTGCAGCATCTTCCACTTGAACATTCCGTGATCAGACCGACTGATTGGCCGATCGGTAAGCTTCTCCTTCCACTAAAAAAAAATTAAAAAATACCACCATAAAAATTGGTTGTCGGTCCCTTTAGTGGGTGTGTCACACTTCACTGCGAAGAGAGATGAAAAAAAAAAAGGAAGCTGTTGCGGAGAGTCCTCCTTTCTCTGTGCAGAGGGTAGCAGCCATGGTAGCAGCGGTCATCGGTAGGGATCCGCTTTTTAAGCTGCAAACACTTTTAACGTTTTTAAAGATGTGCAAAAGCTTTCACCCGATATTTCGAGGTCATCCGTAGCACGACCTCTATGGAATGGTCGTGGCTGCGGTGACTACATCTTCATCATGGTTTTATAATCATGACATTTTGCCATCCGCTATCATTACACATATGTCACGCCACTGTCATGATTTTATTACTTTCATGTTTTAACCCGCGTTAGAGCGAGGAACTTTAAGGCCCCTTTACACCCACGCACCATGTCATTGTTCATATCTGTAGTCAATTGAAATGGCGCTCTTTGGCCATCAATTGGCCCTTGCGCCACTAAAAAACTACTCATCATCATCATCATCATCATCATGGTAGCAGCGGAGACTCAGTCATTGCCATCGCGAGAGAGAAATCGCTTTGCACCGTAGCGCTGCTTCTCGGTCACGTGACCAGCTGAGCGATTCCTCAATCCTCTCCGCTGACTGTGTGAGGAGGACAGCTCTCTCGGCTAGCGCTGGGCGTGTCTGCTAAGGTCGGCGGGGGAGTTTTGAAGGAGCTGCCACGAACGAGCGTCAAACTCTGCAGAAAACGATATACTTAATACACTACAGTCGGTGTTTTTTGATAGACTAATTAAGTTTGTTATATCCATTTACCAGTCAATTTTACTTTATTGCAACGATGTTTAAAATGCATAGTTCTTAATGGAGCTTTCAAGGGGAATTTTATTTACTTTGTTATATTTATTATTTTATTATATCTCGTTACATTATAATGAAATTTGAGTGTAGATGAACAGTGGGAAGCTTCTCGACATCCGGAGCCCGAACAACACCAATGAAGACAAATCACGAAAGAGACAAGATGAACACCTGTTGTCTTGGGTTCGTTGCAGTTTGTCTTCGTTTGCTGCCCTCTTCTGGGAGTTATGTTCAGTTCAGTTTATTACCTTAAAGGCCCCCTTTCTAGGAGGGGCATTACATAAGGGGTGGGGTTTTATTTAGGTTAACAATAAGCAGTAAAAGTTGTTTTAGCATTGAAGATGATCAATAATACGGTCTTGAAAGGCAGATGATGAGGCGATGTCCCGGGGGAGTTGCGTTTCACCGACTGGCCCCATGAGAAGGGCCTTCACGAATAGTTCTCACTGCAAAATAGTCAAACACAACCGCAGCCCACTTGCGTGAAAGGGATTTCTTACCTGTGGAGATGGGTTTTCGAGGGGCCTGTCCCGTGCATGTCAAACCTCGGGAGCGCGAGTGAAATCGTAGAGAAGATAAAAAAGGAATGTGTACATTTTGTGGCATGCATGTGAATTACCTCTTTACGATTTCATTTGGTACGTTACGGTCCAGTCTTTCAGATAACTTCTTCAATTAACTGCTACCTCTACTTACAAATTAATTCAAAGTATTGCTGCTATTATCATTACTAACTGTAAATGTGATTGTGGGAGTTAACAAAAAACACAAAAATGGAGCCAAGCTGCAGATGTCCTCTGGATCCAATGTCTAGCATGCATCACAAACATGGCAGGGTGATCTCATATAAAATAAGGGCTGTGCTACCTTTGCGCCATTTCGCAGGTGGTGTATCAAGCCACTAGATAAATTCAGAGATGCGTATTCCACCAATCCAGCGTCGCTAAATGGTGTAGAGTAAAAGCTTGTTAATTCGAATTATTAGAAAAATGTCTGAAGCAACCCAATGTCAAATCAACTAATGAACAGGAAAAACAACATTAAAATCAAGTTGGAGAAGCATACCTTGAGTAAATTCTGGCTAACATTACAATATTTGGTAATTCTTTCAAGCGACCAGCAGCACCAAAACTGTCGGAAAGGCTCCAGCCAACGTCCTCTAATATCAAAAGCGCCTCCAAAACTTTTCGTGAGGTGCGGTGACATCGCGGCTGCATCTGCCTGTATGACATTCCATCAGAATCAGAGTCTGCCTGGCCGCCCGTGATACCATTTATAATTTTTGATCGGTCGGGAGACCAGTCGTTACGACACAATCGTCGATCATGATGTCCTGAAGGGTCACATATGTGGGAAGAACGGCATCAAAGGTCGGCAGTCATCGTCAATGGACTCTGCCGACACCTCGTCACACTGGTCACAACAGAAAAGACAACTCGGCCAGCGATTGTGCCGGCTCAACTACACATAGAAAAATGGCGTCGAAGGCACAGTGCAGCGAAGGGAGAAGACACAGATGTTCAGTGATGCTGAGTTCGCCCCCACTAGTTGATGACAGTGCCACTCAAGTTTTGCATTAACTCCAGTGGTGCCAGTGCTGCTTTACTGTACTTTTGTGCAATGGCAGATGTCAGCGTTTGTCCGAGTTAAGTGGTGCAGAGCCGAATTCAAACAAATCAACGAAATTTGGTACCATAAAATACTATGCACTTTGACCAAAATATTTGAATTTCCGAATTAACGGGGCTCGAATTAACAAGTTTTTTCTGTATTTAAATAGCTTGCTGTTAGTATGCTAAAGAATGTAAGCATGGTGACTGAGTGGCTAAACGCATTGTGCCACGAAGCAAGAGATCACAGGTTCAAATGCCCGGTTCCACTTGAATTGAAAATTTTTTCTTATTTATTTGCATTTCCCACAAATTTTTGTTCGCAAACATGATTTATCACTCTTAACCAAACACAGTGCCACCAACGCTGCTATTTCTGTGAAATGAGCTCTTTAACACTATCACATTTTTTTGTTTTTGTTTATTTTCAGGTGCCTGCATCGCCATTAGCAAGCATTACAGCAAAGGGGGGTATATGCATCATAAATAAACAGTCATTCATATTCAGTATACAAAGTTCGGCAAAATCTTCACTACATTGCTTTTCAACAATGTCTGACAGAAAAGCATTCCACTCGCTCATGGGCCTACAAAAGAATGAATAACGAAAAGTGTCACCTTCAAAAGGACCTTTGCGCGCCTTTACTCGCTATTCGCCGGCAGGCAAGAAAAAGGCCCTGAGACTCGAGTTTTTTCACAGCGTTTATTATTCAAAAACAGGCATAGACAAGAACAAGTACATCAAACGTTGAAAAGGAAAAAAAGAACAGCATCTGCAAACATGAAGAAATTAGAGCCTTGAAGATTCATTGGTCGCATGCGCATTTGAACGCGCTGTTTTTCAATAACGAATACTACTTGATCGTAAGCTAGGCAGCAACCAGCCATTCCTGATATGGCATTCTGATCTTTTGTCAAGGGCGCTCTTCATGTCGCGTTGCCTGATTTCATGGTTGCTTGAACATGAGCGAATAACCGTGGTTGTCGCCTGTAGCAGTGGAAGCGCTGCACTGTTAAGCGCGTGGATGAAGGTACGATTTCAGGCACAGAGGAAGGAAACAGTTTGGAGGGAGCATTATGCAATGCAATAAAGAAAGAAAAATAAGTACACGAGGCACGCGCATGCCCAGCCCAGTTTTCCCGATGGAGCAAGGTCTCCTGAACATTTTTTGCACATATTTGCTCATTTCTCCTTTGTCTCAGGATTACTAAGCATCATTAGAAACTATAGATGTGCCTTTTTTTGCTCTGTCATCTGCTGGATTCGTACTTCTTCCCCCCTACCAAAACGGGCTCCTTGATCCATAGCCCTTCTTCATCCACACGGTGACGTGCAAATGTTTGTAGCTCACAAGGCCCCAAACTAACGTGTGTATATTTTTATTCCCATCTACCACGTAAGCAGGAATCCATTGAGAAATGCGCGTACCGTGCAGCCTCAAAGGAAACGGCCACCCAGGCGACGCCGGAATTCGGTTCTGCCGGTAAGTCCACTCATGCGATTCAGAAAGGATTCACGTGGGCGGCAAAGCTCTAAGCAAGAAACATAAGCTGGCAAACTTGCTCATGAGTCAAATACTCGGACCACTCGGTCAACGACTCGGATCAAGAGTGAGTTGGAGCCAGGCCATGCGGGTTACATTATGGTTGATTGAGTTCGAGCGACTTCAGTTGAGAAAAATTATGTTGTGTCTGAGTCAAGTCAATCCGGTTGAGAAACTTTGAGTATGAAGCCGAGCAAGCGCCAAGGGCAAAATATATTTCATGAGGGAGTCTGAGTTGGCTTCACACATTTTGCCGACCTATGGTTGGTAGAGCCGAACCTCATTGTTACGAAATCGTCTCGATAGCATAAATTTTTTCGTTATGTCTGATACTCGTTGTGACAGCAGAGATTTAAAAAAAAAATGCCAGGCCTACACAAAACATGCAGCACAGTCAATACAAATGCTGGTGGAAAGGGATGGTGGAAAGGGCATGCCCTCGCACTCGTACACGGCGGCAAGAACACCGGCGGCTTGAGGGGCATAGGCCAGGGCTGCAAACTGTGGGGCGATTGCCCTACTTTTAGGGTATTTTTCTAATTTTTCATGCAGTGTGGCGTAGTGTGGTGGTAATACGACTTTCTTATCAGACATAGAGTAGTATCTACTTTTTGTTCATTATAGATCACTGAAAAATGAAGACGATAAACGTGAGATCTCCGTGGGGGACATTCCTAAATAGACCAAAATTTAAGTCTTATATTTTTTTACTAAAATTTGAACTGATTGATTGATTGATATGTGGGGTTTAACGTCCCAAAACCACCATATGATTATGAGAGACGCCGTAGTGGAGGGCTCCGGAAATTTAGACCACCTGGGATTCTTTAACGTGCACCCAAATCTGAGCACACGGGCCTACAACATTTCCGCCTCCATTGGAAATGCAGCCGCCGCAGCCGGGATTTGAACCCGCGCCCTGCGGTTCAGCAGCCGAGTACCTTAGCCACTAGACCACGGCGGCGGGGTTTAAAATTTGAACTGGGGCATTTCACATGTCACTCGCACAAGGCAGAGACTAAAAATAATACGCCACGTGTGTACGCCAGCACTGTTTTTTCCCGCGGATTTCTTTTGCTCTCTCTATTGTATCTCATATGTTTGTTGTGTGGAAGAGCTCTTGAACTTTATGATGACTGTGGGTTGCAATCATTAAGGCCTTCATCATGCTTCATCATACACGAAAACTGTCCGTGAGCGCCATCGCAAGTGATACGAAAAAATTCATGATCACGCAATTATGTACCTCATGACATCGTGGGGATGTCACAGATTTTCAGAATTTGTCATTCCAATTTGAGGTCACTGTGACATCACATAATGTGACGTCAAACGATGGTGTCCTCACACGACGTCACTTTGTCATTGGTGGGCCAATCCCAGAGGCGTGTGAGTTGCAGACAGGTTGCAGTTGCTCCGATTGCAGAGGCAGTGCGAAATTGGGCTAGGTTCAGAAATCTTTCAATGGGGGGGGATGAGAAGCTGAGTGAGAAGAAAACAAAAGTAAAGCGCTTGCCTTTTAGTGATCTTAGGCGAAGCCAAATGCAATGAATGAAAATGTACAGCCAGGTGGATATGTTAACATTCAGTTAAAACGTGCTCCATCATTTTTTTAACATGCATATGCATTTGTCGTCTTTACAGAATCTCGCTTTATAACAATTTATGCGAAGGTAAACAACCTCGCTTTGAACAGCAGAGCGCTTCCCCTTAAATTATCCTAAAATGTAATTTTACAATTTCATTTTTCTCCTTTCGGTAGTTACTTAAGGCAATTTTATTTTCATTGCTGCTATCCAGTACATCTTTTTCGCCTCTCAGACATTTTGTTTAATGCTCTGCATCAGATATTACTTAGTCTCTCTTAGAGACAAATTTTCAAGTCGATGTTCAAAGTCACTGTGGACTTCAGTGCCCCTGCATATCTGCATGATGTGCACTAAAATATGTACCATGTTATTTTTACACTGTTCTGCTTTTAGGCTTAGGGTAAAATGTAGGGTAATGGAAAAAAAATTGTTTAGTATGAAGTAGAGTACCGTAAAAACCCACATATAGGTTGCTCCAGCATATAGTTCGAGGTGCGTTTCGGGCATAGAAAATGCGAGAAAACGTGCTTTAACTCTAATATGCGTTGAGGAAAACAGAAAAGTACATTTATTTACACTCAATTACTCCTCGTCATCCAACGAGCTTTCATTCGAAGCTCCCTTGTTGGATGTGTCCTTTCACAGTGCCTTGTCGTCAGTTCCATCGAGGGAATTCGAGATAGAGCACTTTTATAATCAATGGCAAACGAGCTCCTCGAGAATGCAGGCCCAAGTCTCGGCAATCCACGATTGATAATTGATTGATATGTGGGGTTTAACGTCCCAAAAGCACCATTTGATTATGAGAGATGCCTCGGCAATCCACGAGCACAGCATCACTGGCGAGGCCCGTTTCACTTGTCTGGCAGGGATCACTTCCGGCTCTCTGGACCTCATCCGCTCTATGCACAGGTGCTTGATGTGGTCCTTAAATGGCTTACTGAGGCACACATCAAGCGGCTGCAGCTAGGATGTCATCCCTCCCCGGATAACGATGAGCTCGGTGTGGGAGTCGCACAGCAATCGCTTCACAGAGTCTGTCAGATGTCAACGAAATGCGTTGTGCACAAGCCTCGATGGGTGCCCTAGCAGTGCCCCGGGCCGTCGACACCGCACAGACTTGATCCAGTCAAGTACGAGCGATTCGTCCATCCACTTCTTGTCCTGGCAGCGGACGACAACATATCTTTGGAACTTCCCCCTTCGCCAGCGTCTTTTGTTTCAACACGATGTAGGGTGGCACGTTGTACCTATTTGCCATGCAGGCCAGCATTACACTCACCTGCGTTTTGTCATTCCCAGTTGATCGCACGGCAACTTGCCTGTAGTCTTTTTCATGAACTGTCAGAGCCGAGGACATATAGAGGTACACAGGCACCTGATTGGCATTTCGTATCTGGCCCACCTGAAAGGAGACTGCCTTTCGTGAGGAAACTGCGTGCTTCTGATAGCTCACAAGCAGCTCTTCGTTGTTTTTCGGCAGCTTCTGTGACATCGACGTACGCTGACGCAGGAAGAATCCAGCACGGCACAATAAGTGGGACAACCAATGCTCGTTCGCCTTGAAGACCACCTGCTCAATGCCTCCATCTCGCACGATCTTCCTTGCCTTTGCTTGCAGCAACTTGTTGTTGACAGCGAGCTGTGCAGCCCGTTGCTCCTGGACAAAGTTCGCCAGTTCTTGTTGAACGTCGGGAACGGCTCCATGTTTTGGCCCCAGAAACCTTCTTTGCTGGCCGCTGCATACGATGAGAGCTTCTTTCTGCTTCCTCTAGTCGTGAATGCACCACTCGTCCACACCAAACTGTCGCCCCGCAGAACAGTTGCCGATGGTTTCAGCAGCTTAGATAGCCTTTCTCTTAAACTAAGGTTGCACAGTGGGCTTGTTGGTTATCCATAGTATCTGAGGTATCGTGCATTCAGGATGGGACAGATAAGACAGATAACGCAGTGTATGTGTTATGTGTGTTCTTCTTTGTCCCGTCCTAGATGCGCGATACCTCACATACCATGTTTCTTTTAAAGGCAGCCGAGTGCTGCCTTCGCAGAGCCGGCAGTGCGTTAAGTCATGGACATAAAATCTTGGTCGTTGCTACGTGTGTCAAGTGATTTTAATGGCCACTGTTCCACTCCGGCAGGACTAACGTCACTAGCGCTACAATGCCACCTGTCACAGGCACTTGATGATGATGATGATAGCACTACGTATTGCCGAAACCGAAACTACAAACTCGAGCCGCAAATTCTTGGGATCCGCACGTAGTCCAAGGCAGAAATTTTTCATAGTAAAATAAAACGATCACAGGCTATATGCAAGTTTTTATGGCAATTTCAGCCCTGGCATGGGGTATTTTCCAAAAATTGATGGGCAACACTGGTACAGGCCTGCCTCACGCACACCCACACGCACAAATGAGTGCTTTCAATTATGCTTGCGTAACCTACACGTCCCTTGCATCAGTGTCTCTTATAAAGGTGGTTGACTGTTTTTACGGTTTCAGTGAAAAAACCATGTGGAAAAGCTGCCAGCACCCCCAAATGTTGTGCACGACAGTAACCGACATAATCTCCTTGACTGTAATAAGAACTGCACTCTAGAAGTGAATATATAGTCAAACGCTTTTATAAGAGACTATATAGAGACAAACGGTTATAAGAGACACCCTTGTGCCTACATTGAAAGAGCAGTAGACAAGAAAACGCACACTTTGCACCTTGCTGATGAGAGACACCTCATATGAAACGCAAGAATTGCTGCCCGGTTGCACATCTCTTATATAGGGGTTAAACTCTATGTATGCTCAAACGTCAGTATAACAAAGTTGCATTTTACTTGAAAATAAGTTCGTTATATACGAAAATTTAGTATAAAGTGATAGTCCTCCTAATACTATATCTATTGCAAGATTAATTTTTCACTTACTTCGTTATGACTGATGTTTTGTTATATCCAGGTTTTTATATCAAAGTTGGAGTGTATTGTAATAAATGACAAACGAGACCAATTACTGCTGTCCAGCATGGTCATCGGTAATGGCACATTGCATGGGGGTCGGCCAGGTGTCCTCTTTGCAACCCTTGCCAATGCCCATGTTGTTAATGTGCTTACTTCCCCTGGTTGAAGTTGCCGAAAAATGGGATTATCAAAACCCCTTCTGCTGGCTGAAAAATATGGAACACACGAAATGAGCAAGTTTTGATGACTTTATTGGCTTTAAGTGAAGGAAATGTAGAATTTAGTTAAATAGTACAAATTGTTAATATAATAAATAAAATACTTTATGGCACTACTCGTCATTTTTACTCAATGAAAGTGCTTCGATCATCCACTCATGCAATTTTCCCGTTGCATTGGCATGTTTATAACTTTTCCACTACATTTTTTTGGAAACCCCAATGTGTACGGTGCTTACGTGAGCTGCTTGGTCGAACCTCATGCTTTCTGTTCCCTAGGTGCACAGGTTCGCCCTTGCAGCGTCGTTGGCTGCAAACCCAGCGATTGGCGGTTCGAAAAGCGGCGACATGCTGTGCCTCAACAGCAGGGCAGCAGGCGCACGAAGTGGCTGCGACGCATAGGACTTTCGGCATCCGATCCCCGCCAGGACCTGCGCGTTTGCGGCCGCCACTTCACGCTGGAAGACTACCGGCTGAATTTTGAGCCCAAGCAGCCATTCGGCGTCACCATTACTGGATATTCCCTCCATGCCGAGGCACTGCCAAGTTTGCACCTTCCCGACCCTAAGGTGGGTCCGCTGACTGTACAGATAATGGGCGCCATATTCTAATGTTTAGAACAGGGTTTGCAAGGCTTTGTATTGGCGTTTGTCGCCAGTGCAGATGAATCGTACGGTAACTTCATGGGTGCGCACGTAACGTTACGGCAGTAGGCAGCTTTAGAGTAGAGTACACAGAAATAGCGTATTGCACCCTAGCATCGCAAACATTACCAACCCTAAAACAGCCTATTTGGAACTGTGCTGTGCTGCGTTGTTTGACAGTCGACATCGTTGGCGTAACCATAAAAGAGGGAGGCGCTATAATAAAAACCCCTCTGCCCCCGAAATTTTTCAGTCTTGCATCCGTAGAAAGGCATGCAGATGCATACAAGTTGACAGATGCTGTACATTATTTAAATACATTCGTGCCTTTCTCACACTGCTTCCCACTGTGCATCAGGATGGAGTGTTACGTGTAAATCCAGCTACCAATGCTGTTACTGCAAATGTAAGAATTTGTCTTGGGCGCTTCGAAACACTACTTTGTAGGCTTCTGCGAACAGTACATTTTAGTTCTGAAGTGACTAGTGGTAGGAACAGATAATTTTGAATGAAATTCAAATAGTATAAATATGTATGTGCCACATATTTTAAAGAGAAATAGGTATATTTGTCGTGACCCGACTAACCTGCACAATGTCTTTTAAGACTTGAAACAAGGCATGCGCAAACGCCATTCTTTTTGGTTCAAACAAAGTGGAAACAACTTCGAATAGTAGCTTGAATTTCGGTAGAATGCAGGTGATAACCTGCAAGACATGTTACATTTTAATGTTTACTATCCTTAGGCCAAATGAGGTGGTATAACAATGTTTTAAAATATAAAAATTATGAGTCGATGTGAAGGGAATTATGTTCATTTAATGTCGAAGTGGGCCTCGTGGCCGTCTGGATTTCCGCCGGTTGTGTGTATTCACGACAAAGCACACCTTCGCTGTATTGAAACCACCTTTGCAGGGATTACATGCAGACTAATATATTGTATTCGTGCTCGTATTCATTGCTTCATACTTGTATTCATTCATTTTGGTGCGGCCAAGTTGAGATGCCCCAGCCGTTTTATAAACACCACCGAGCTCTGACATCCATATGCTGAATGGCTGAAATGAAGGAAAACACCAAGTTTGTAAGGGACACAAACTCAAAGTTAGAAGGAGCATTTCTTGTATTCTTCGTTACTTGTGTTCGTCTTAATTTGCTGCTCTCCTTTTATAGTCTTTTCACCAACTAACCCCTCTAGAAAATCTCTCATGAATTGTTTGCACCTCAGAATAGGTAGTAAATACAGTTGCAGAACACTTGGATGAAATGATTGTGTGGTGCGAGGAGATAAGTTTATCTTAATTTGCTGCTCTCCCTTTTAAAGTCTTTTCACCAACTAGCCCCTCTAGAACATATCTCATGACTTGTTCGTACCGCAGAATAGGTAGTAAATAGGTAGTTGCAGAACACTTGCATGAAATGATTGTGTTACCAGAGGAGATGGGTTCGTGAACTGCCGGTCCTGTGCTTGCAAACTCTTGGAAGAAGCACGAGTGGAAACGTAGAGAAGTTAGGAAGTCTCACATTTCGGATCACATATGCGAATTTCAGCTGTACAACATTATTTGGTGCTTTACAGTTAAATGTCTCAGTTAACTCCTTTGATTGATTGATTTTTACGTTCGCTTATGAACTTAACGATAAACAATGCTTCTTGTAATAACTATAATTCTAGATCTGACCGCAAAAAAAAAATAGCACTTGTGAGTGCAAAGGAATTTGGTGCTCGAAGGTGCGTTGGTCACTTTTGTATTTTCATATGACCGTTTTCAATTCGTTTATGCCCTCTCTATCACGGGCTTGTTGGTAATCAGCCCTTTTTGATATGGCAATATGACCAAGATGATTTGTCATTTCAGACTGTCCACATTTCGTTATCGCCTGAATACGAATGCATGACTGTTGTATTTGCTTATAGTGACCGAAGTGTTGAGCTGCTAAACACATGGATGGATGTCTGATCCTCAGCACTGGAAGAAGGAAACTGTTTGGGAGAGAATATTGTGTGCTCTGAGAGAAATACACACAAAGCTCAATACAACAAATTTGTACGTAACAAATAATTCTTTGTAAGAAAGTAAGTGAAGAATAGCTTTGTAATAGGTAGTTTCGTGAGTAAATGTTTGTAATGAATTTTCAGATATAACGAGGCATTTTTCGTGGCAGATGCGACTTTGTTATAATGAGGTTTGGGTGTAAGTAAAAGTAGCTGTGCCCACACCAAACTTCTCTTGGCTATGCTTTCCAGATAAGGTAGGGGCTACCGAATTTCTCATGTCCACTTTTTTTCTCTTTCTTTTTTTACCTCACCACTACTGAGAATTAAAAAGGAACTATGGGTAACATGCCTCTATGCTTACTTCGATTTCAGTTCTTTCTTGGATTCATTCCGTCGCACCCACCTAAAAATGTTTGCTTCAATCTATAACGCACTTCTTTGTCCGCAGCATAGTGCGTGAATGAATGCGGTTTACAAGATCCCGAGCTGGTCGTGTGTGTAAATCTTTATCGACATTCGCCCTGTATCCAGAAATCCATGAAGAAACATGTGTGCCAACCGGTTTTGAAGACAACGGCTGCCCAAGCGAAGCAGCTATTCCGTTCTGTCGGTAAGTCCCCCTTGCGATTCGGAAATGACTTGTACTTTCAACACAGCTATAACGAAGTTGGCTCGACAGAATGTGCGTGCATGTGGTAAAATCGACTACAAACTCCATTCTTGCGAAGCTTCATTGGGGAGTTGAATCCTGAACGGAGGTGAATGGAGCTCGTTGGTTGCTATGTGGCAGGGGTGTAAAGCAACCTGCTTCGGTTGATTTCGTCTTCTTGCTCGGTTTCCGCACTCTTCTCAACAGTGAAGAGGGGATGGCATAGCCCTTTATTGCGACTGCACCCACCTTGACAACTAAGCACGGCGTCAGCAGTTATGTCATCAGCGTGCCTCCAATGACCGACCAAGGCTTCATTTAAATGGTACTTTTGTGGGAGAGGCGCAGGTAAAAAAGGCGCTATGAGGGGTACGGAGCACTGGTGAAGTGAACAAAGTTGCCACATTGTGCAAGGAGAGGTGTGCAAGGGTATTTTTTTTTAATGAAGTGGCTGCGGAGCATGCAGTGCTGTGACATTAGCAAAAAGTTATTGCGGCCGGACTTCTGCACGAACTAGCAAGCTTGTTTGGATGCTGTAAAAAAAAAAAGTTAAAGCTCGTTGACTGGCCCTTCAATTTTGAGAAAATATCTAAATGAAATGCCCATATCAAGTCTTCTACTTTCAACTGGGTTGCAATTGTTGGTACAATGAGGTCATGTGCTCCCCAGAAACCCATGCTCTACTAACGTGTGTATTAGCCCAGCAGTTTCCTTCAGGCCTCGCCAAGAAAATTTTTTCCTTCTTATTTATACCAGTACTCATTCGCCCCTCTGGTCATGTGACATGCGGGAGGTCTAATACAGTGACAATGGCTCAGTTTAGACTAAGACAATTTCTCAGTAAAACTTGTGGACGTCATAACTCTCAGAAGCCTTGCTTACTGGGGTGGTTTTTGAACTTGTTTCAGCTACGCAGGTGCACATGTGCCTGCAGATTCCAGCTAATGCCAACACGCAGACCATGCTGGTCACCACTGCGGAAGCCGCGGTTCAGACGTAGTGCGATGCTGCATCCTCTTCCCACACGCTTAAGGGCAGGCTGCCATTGTAGACCTACGTTGGCCCGCCTCGGCGACCACCCGACAGATACCGGGCTTCTGCATTCCGCGGTTTAACACCCATGCCTGTGCTAGACGAGGCTTGCTCAGCCAATGAAGCATAAGCAGCAGCTCAAGGTGACATCTTCTATTTATTTAAAATAAAAGCTCATTAACTTTCATTTCATGGGACTGGAGAAATTGTCCAAATTAATTGAATATCGAGACTATCAATAAAACTATGAACTGAATGTTCATTACATCAACACACTATCATTTTCTTGATAAGGTGTAAATCCTGTACCAACTGGGCATAAGAGCAGCTTAAAAAGCTACAATTTATGCCCATTGTGACTTTGTTCCTGGTGTGGCCAGTGGCTCAATGTCCTAACTTACCCATAACGTGCTAACCTGATATGAACTAGAAGCATCATTACCGTACGGTTCGCGTTGACACTGTGCCACTTCAATTTGGTAGTCCGCGAACACCATGCATGGGAAGTATAGGGGACCTTTATTCAAGTAAATGTGATCATATAAATGTTTGTCCACTTAAACCTGGGATTATTAAGTCGGCGACACTAGTAGTAGTCATGACAGCAAGTTGGCTAGTGTGGAAAACTATTTTTTGCTTGCTGACTGTCACGATTATGTCGAGAGTGCTTGCCAAGGATTCAGATTGAGGAAAAGAAACAGGAGACCGTGGTGGCAAGACAAACACTCTTTATCAAACAACATGGCTAACTGTAATCAAACACTTACTAAAATTTGTATAAAATACACGCACACAATAATTCATTAAACACTGAATCGCAAACTTAACGATAATGCAAGTCAAGGCGAGTCCTAAGCCAGTTTATAGCCATCATGCAGGGGTGCAAAAGCTACGCCAACTGTGCCAATTTGATTCGATTCCCCGTTTATGTCCTGAGATGCGCCAAAACCACGAAATTTGCTGGAATTGCACCAAGCTGTTGTTCCGGACAAGAGACTGTGGAATTGGACGTAGCGAGTCAAGTGCGAACGGAGGGACACAATGTGCGATGCTTGCTGAGAAGAGAAAATGGCGGGACA